TTTTTTAATATTTAAATTTAAAATCGGAGGACAAGTCAGAGGGAAGGTTACCTTTATAAACAGGCCACATCCCGTAAAGGAACAACAAAAGTATATAGATTATACCTTTATGCTAAAAGGGGTTCAGAATAAACACACTGACATAGTCATCGAGAATAAATAACCCGAGCGAAGCCGGTTACACATTGCCATAGTAGTGGCATCCCACCACTATTGGGATTTCTTGTGCACAAGTCACATACTGCAGTTCAGGGGTTTTACCTTTGGACTAGCATTGTCATCACATGGGATCTACCAAATCATACGAGTATTTTTCTCGTCACCTCCATTCCCTAGCATTGTGCACACCCCATTGCATAGCGACTGGTTACTGCTGGCACCATCTTGTAAATTGTCAGAGTATCACACTTTGATTCTACTTTCAGATACAACCATGTCTGGCTTCATTTTCAGAGCTGAGACATCTCTTCTTGCTCCAATTCAGTATGTCATCAATCTGTGTATTTTTTTATCACGTCTCTCAACTGTCTTCCAACCAGAACAGGAAGCCCGACTCTTACTCATCTCTCTTTCTCCAACTGTGTGGATGGTTCTTTCTTTTTTGGGAATGTTGGCATTACTTAAATCCCTCGTGACTTTGGGATGAGAGCACAAGAGATCCTTTCAATGATCTTTATGAGACAAAGAGATCATAAACATCAATTCACTGGATTCCCCAGTTTCTTAGGCAGGATCATTCTTCGATCTCGAGGGATTGTCGAGTCAGGACACTACTAAGATATGGGTTCCTCTGCTGTTACCTTGTCCAGAGTTCCATCTTTTCATGAATGCTTGGCTTCAGGGACAGGTACATATACCAACAGTCAGAAATTCCATGGTCTATGCACAGATGACGAGGCTTTCCTACACAATGTTTTAGTCCTTCTTGCTCTTCAAAAGGCAATACCACATGGTCTGGGCTTATTAAGGGTAAAATCATCAGACTTCACTCTGAAAATTCCATTGTGGTTTCTTACATTTCTCACTGAGGAGGCACTTAGTCTAGAGCTCCTTGTTTTCGAAACTTAGACCTCCTTTCTCGGGATCACTCCTATCATATCACTCTACTAGCTTGCCATGTTCCATGGGTGATGACTGCGGTAGCAGATCATTTGTCTCAACCCAAACAGGTTCTACCACCAGAATAGATGCTGCATCATAAAATGATGGATTGGCTCTCATTTTGCAACACTGATGATTGGTGGGTTGGCCACTCTTTGGAACACCAAACTACTAGCAATTTGGTCTCTTATACTTCACCTTCAGGCTTTGGCAGTGGATGCATTCTGTCAGGATGGGATGGGATTACAACTCTAGGCCTTCCTTCCAATTCATATGTTACCCAAGGTACTAACTATGATTTGTTCCAACCCATTGTCAGGTCCTGTTGTTAGCATCGGATTGGTAGCTACACCCTGGTTTTTGCTTTTGTGGTACCTTCAGGAGTGTCCACTTCTTCTTTGGCCATCTCTGTAGAGGCAAACTATGATCTGGCACAGTACACCTGGCTATCCAGAAGCTCAAGCTTCAGGTATAGAGGTTATGCAATCTTTCTCACTGCATCGAGGTATAATTTCTAAGGTTTCCATTATCTGTCTCGGTCTTTGCTTAGTTCCTCGATAAACATTTATCAATGAAAATGACACACTTATCGGCATTGGTACATTGAGAGGAAGTTGAACCCACTTCGATCAGAAGTGCCAACCATACCTCATTTTTTTAGATGACTCTTTGGATAGGTTTTTAATCTTCCACAATCACCCTGTATAAGGTGGCCTTATCGACTACTGTTCGATACTCGCAACAAAATATTCTTTGAGTCCCTAGTACTCTCCTGATTTCTCAAGTTGCTTTGGGTCCTTTGTCCCAAATGACCATTTCAGTTACCTAACTGGTATATTAAGGTTACATTACATGCTCTTTTTCAACACCTGTTTGTGACATTATTCTCATATGCCACGTATCACCTTATTTTTCGTTGCTGCTGACCTAAAGACATCGCTGAATAGAGTGGTTTGTGTTGTTTGGCCACAGGATGGTTTATCATTCTACCTATGTCCTCAGACTGATTCGTCTTACTTAAGACACTGTCAGACAGGGAAGGGGATAAATCATTTTCAATGATTCGTCTGGTCACCATTTCTCACTTATATGACTGATTAGATTTTAATTGTTTTGTTCAGTGAGGGTCTTGAAGGTTTTGTTGCCCACACTAATGCTTTGTGAGGACCCCTGTATACTGGGGTCCGCCCTACCTTCTCCCCATATTGCCAAACCCGTTTACTGTGACCTAGGTTTTATCAGTTTTCCTCCACCTGTTTATGGCTTGCTTTTCCTGGCCTCGACTGCGGTATCTTCTAGGCCTACCTCAACTTTTTTTTAGACACTTTTCACAATATAATTTTCCCTCCTTCTCCAGACATTGTTTCACGATGAGCAGTGTGTTTATCCTATCCATTTTGTCCCACACCTAATTTTCCACTTTTGTCTTACCCTATCGACTCTCGTACAGGAAATGTCTCCCTTACACCTCCTTTCTTAGGCGTTCCACCTATATCTAGGGGATTTTTCATGGGTACCTCTTCCTCCTTCTCTCCATGTTGGGGCGTTTGCCATCTTCAGTTCTTTACCTCCACACGTGGCTTATTTGCTTTTGGGATCTTTTGGGGTA